ATACATGCATACATACATGCATGCTGATATGAGTGTATGGGTATGGTGTTGCTCGCAGCAGCGTTGCTGTGTCGTATTTCGGTCTCTTTGCGTTGTATGTTAGATTAATCGTTTGTCAGACCAGGCTGTCTTTTATGTACAGTTTTTTGCTAGGCACGGGTTTGTTTTTGATAGGGTCTTGTTGTTGGTCCGGTAGATGGGGATTTCTGTTAGACAAGCGTTTCAATAAAGAGGTATAATTTCCAAAAGTGTGGCTTGTCCTGAGAACCTCCAAACCCTTAAACTCTTTAGTGTGGGGGTGGGTGGGCGGGTTGGTGGGTGGGGGTTATATGTATGTGTATATATCAAGACAGCGGCACGACATATCGTTGCGTACCTGCACACTTCCCTCCCTCCCTGCATGCATGCATGCATCCATCCAAGCATACAGAGCTACATAGATACCGACCGACCGACCGACCAAGCGACCCACTTGCCTACCTACGTACCTCTCTGCCCTGCCTGCATGCCTGCAGGCCTGCTTGCATGCCTACCTATCGGTATATGATATATGCACAGATGCCTACGTGCATACAAACAGTGGCAAAAGCAGCAATCACGCTAAGTGTGACGCGACGAAAATCTGATGATGATGATGATGGCGATGGCGATGGCGACGGTGATCATCATCATCATCATCATCACCATCGTCATCGTCATCATCATCTTCATCATCATCATCATCTTCGTTTTCGTTGTCGTCATCATCTCTCTCTGTCTCTGCACGCCACTGCCGCGAGGGTCGCATTACGTCCGCTCGGTCAGGAGCTAAAATCCGACACCCTGGGTGGTCGTCATCATCATCATCATCAACATCATCTCCTTCTTCTTGTCCATGGTGACCATGATAATTTTCTTCCTCACCATCACCGACAGCTTCCTGATCAAGCTAGCCAACTTGAAAATGCCACGAACAGTCACAAGAAGAGTAGACAGACCAATGCCAATGACTGCTTCAGCTCGACCTCCTAGTCCCGGGCACCCGGGCCCCGACATCCATCGTGAGTTTGGTTCAACGCCTGAGCCTGAAGCCACCAAGCCAGTGGCCACTCTTCGTGATGACCATATTTTCCGCAACATAATCTCATCCCGATTCCTGAACCAAAGAACCCAAGCCTGAGGGCCTAAACCTTCAAGCCGAAGCTGTTGCCTGATGCCCTGGCACAGACCTGGGGTCTGCAGCACTCCCCGCCGGATCTCCGGGCCTCCCGGCATGCTGAGGATTTGTTTGGCGGGGTTGTCGACTGATGAGCTTCCTGACTGTCTGACTCGTCAAATCTTGGCCCTCAGTAAGTGTCGGTACTTGTGAAGCTGGGATAAAGGATCACAGTCTCCTGGAGACACTCCGTGCTATTCCATCGAAAATTGCAACAGACCCAGCAGGAACCAGTTGAGTTCTCCACCGCAATCCTAAACCGTTTTAGGTTTCGGTGTGTATTTGATAGTGTAAGCCCAAATCCGAGACTGTGATTTAAGCTGTGAAGTTCAGCGTTTTTTCGGGTCTTGACCCGAACGTTTCATGTTCGCGTGATTACCAGCTTTATTCTAGTGCACTCCTGTGGAGTCGCGCCTCACCCACCGCCGATGCGTGTCACAAGCCCGAGGTTCACCCTGACTTTGTGCAGAACGAGTCGCGCAGGATGCTGTAGGGATCAGGGTTCCGGGGCTTCGAGCCTTCCACTTTAGGGTTGCAGAAGTGGCTGTTGGTCGCGACTTCAAAGATGCAAAAGTCTCAGACCCAAGATCGAGGGTCTGTGCCGAACGGAGGAACACGATTGACATGACGGGCGTCCGGCTTATCGTCTCCCAACTCTTGCAGAGGCCGGAAGGATGTTGGGTCCAGGGACGGAAAACGTATTTTAAACTTTACTTAAGCCACCCGCAACCCTGAAACTTCACAAGCTCCATATCATGATGGTCATAATCAAAATTGTCTATGTACATCATCCACACCATGGTACCGACCGTTATTGATAGTGTATCATCATTATGCCACTCATCATTGACACTTTGTTGAACGTTTCTGTCAGAAGGAGTCGGAGACGTGCCATCGTGCTACGATGTTTCTGAGCGTGCCAATCTTCGACCTGGAGGGACCTGGAAGGGCGTTCCCAAGCCTAAGCTTCAGCTTCGCTCGGCAAGCAACTGTAGCGACTGTAGCGAACTAAGCCTTTCCACCAGTAAGCAAGCATGCTCTTGACGAACTGCGAACAACTAAGGACCAGTCACGAATTTCTCTAAATACTAAGACCCTACACTCACTACCCTCTCCTTCTAATTACTCCTACTCCTCCTACTCTTTCTACTCTACTCTACTCCTCCTCCTGCCTTCTACTGCTCCTACTCCCAGTCCTCTTACTCCTCCTGCTCCTTACCCCTCCCAGTCCTCCCAGTCCTCCCAGTCCTCCCAGTCCTCCCAGTCCTGCCAGTCCTGCCAGTCCTCCACTCCTCCCACTCCTCCCTCTCCTCCCACCCCTCCTGCTCCTACTCCTCCTCCTCCTACTCCCCTCCTACTCCTCCTGCTCCTCCTGCTTCTGCTCCTCCTGCTCCTCCTACTCTTCCTACTCCTCCTACTCCTCCTACTCCTCCTACTCCCACACCCACTCCTGCTAGAGCTGCTCCTGCTACTAACAGCTGTAGGACAAGTTTGATTGTCACCCTGGTGACTCGTAAGCCTGCGAGGTGCCTGCTGAACATGTCCAACAGACAGGCTCTCCTGATTGCAGATAGCATCTTCAATCGCGCCGGGGTGCGGGCCTCGTTCTGGGGCTCCAGGGGCATGTCGCAATCGTTGTCATCTTCACCATGCTGCATCTAGGCAGCCGCAAGAGTTCTTCGTCTTCTTCATATTCGACACTACTGTGTCAATCTTGTACATGCTCAGTTTCACCATCATGGCTTCTTCATCATCGGCGTCATGGCCACTATCATCGTCTGGGTCATGATCAGTGTCATCAGCATCATCGTCATCGTCATCGTCATCATCATCATCATCATCATCATCACCATCATCATCATCGTCATGATCTACTTCTTCTTCTTCATCATTATTTCACGGCATGTCAGGTCATGTCATGTCATGTCACCATCATCACCAGCAGCCACAAAATCTCGCATCACTCCCATCGCACCATCCAAACCGTCAGACAGCCGGCGACACTAGCTTTGCTTCCGGAGGACTTGCGCGAGCAATGCCTTTCGAATCACGTTGAGTTCTTGACGGGTGAGTCATGAATCTAGCCAGTTTGCCATCGTCCTTCGCCGAATGTGATCCGAAGTTCGATTTTCTGGATGTTGCTTTTCATGCCCTAAGCCTGGAAGGTGTTGCATGGAACTAGTCGGATATGTTGGATAGAACAGCTTCTTGACGCGTGAAGCACAATTGTCAGGTTTCGCAGGGTGTGACCAATGCGAGAGTCGTGCCGGGTGCAGCCCGTGCACGTACCCGTCTCCGATCAAACCCGGATTAGCAGCTGTTCGAACTTGAGGCTGTGCCTGGTATTGCACAAGCCGTTCTCGTGAAAGCGAGCAACGCCGATTTCGGTGTTTACGCGGACAAGAGGCCACTTTTGGGAGTTTGTTTGAATTCCAGCATGGGCCGTTCTGGGTCATGAGGACAGCAGGAGTCTTTGGTTGGAGCTCGCAATTTGGTGTGGCCGTGTCCGATTTGTCGAGTGGGCCCTGTGCTTCTGCGCAGGACTTGGCTTTGTGAGCATGGCTTGGCGCAGATCCTGGAGAAGCTTACTACTGCACCCAGCTTGGTGATTTTTGCAATGACGTCTTTGCTGCTATCCGTCCTATCGCTGCTTATGAATCGCGACCTTTATTCTTCTTCAGCCATTGTGTTCTTTCGTTCAATTTTGCCCTTGTCAGACGGGACCCCTCAGAAGAGAGGTGCGGGCTTGCGAGCTCCTACGCACTTTAGGTTTTACTGCGTTTGAGTTTGAGGCGCACCCCTATGTGGACGTGACAAAGGAGATTGTTCTGGAGCACGAGCGGCAGGTGTCTTGCAACGGCCTGTGGCTTACGCTCCATCAGGACAGAGTGGCAGCTGATCAACTTGAGGGTGTTGTGACCCACTGTCGACCCTCACGTACTTTCCCCATAAAAGGCCCTGATGATGGCCGGTTCTCTAGCACTGCAAATTCGAAAATTTACCGCTGAGACCCACGCCCGCCCCGCCTGTGGAGAGCATCCCGCTGTTCACTTTTTTGGGCTTTCGCGGTGATCCATCCTCCCAGCACTTTTTTTTGCAGAGTCGCAGGTAGCAGATCTCGGTCCCGACGGCCGAAGCCACAACTCCCGAACCCCACGGTCCTTCGACTGCTGATTCCGAATCATGATGTCTCGAGAGGCACGTCCCACAATGGCCGCGGCGAAGGACAAAACTAAGAACCCTGAGCCCAGTCCATCTTCCATCGGAGAGCGTGTTCTGTTTGAACGTGCTCCAACCCTATCTACCATGGCAAAGAAGACCCCCAGCACTCCCAAGGTGGCAACATCAACCTCTTCGCGTCGAGCTACATGAAGGAGACTAGCGGCCTTGGAACCGGATCCAGGGCTTTTTTTTTCTTTTGGCTTGCAGAGAAGCTTCAGGAAGCTAATATGTAGTAATGTAGTGTTCGGCCGGGATCAGCCGGGCTCGCGCTGAGTCTGTTGCATGAGGTGCAGTCGTAGCAAATAATCCGAAAGCCGCCGAAACATTGCAAAAGCCGCTGGGCCGAACCCGTTGGTTTCAGCAACGGAGATGCTTGCCCTCGAAGCTGACATCCCAGACTTGCCAGCCAGTCCGCGTGCAGATCTCAACCTTTTGCTTCAGAGAGCCAATCGTGAAGTTGCCAACCCCTGAGAACCCTGTGCCTATGCTTTTTGACAAAGCTTCTTGGCCAGGAGAAGCTCAACTTAAGCGCAATGGGGATTTCCGACCCCTATGTGAAGGACAACAAGGTGCTGCCGGGTGAAAGTGGAGAAATCAGGTTTCGACGGAGGGCGCCAGCGGGTCTTTGGCCCTGAAACCCCTCGCAAGCAAGCCAGAGAGAGAGAGAGAGAGAGAGAGAGAGCGCGCGGTCGAGGGGCAACCCTCGGCTGTAGCCCTGGCGAAAGAAAGAGAGAGAGTGATGGAACCCTGGCGAAGAAGAGTGATGGAGGAAGGGAGTTTACTTGAGCCCACCGACAAGAGTCTCAGAATCTAGGAGCTCAGACCCGAGAAGCAATTGCCCGTTCAAGATTCACTCCAAGCTGCTGATTTCTTTCTCGAGAGGTTCTGTTCATCCGCTACATCCGTGCTGGTGACGGCCAACGATGCACACAGGCTACGGTTCTTTTCTTGGTCACAGTCCATGCGCTCTGTGACACAACACCCCAAAGCTTTTCAATTCGGAGTTCATCCATCATTGTTGGATCCACGAATTTTGGAGCGAAGAGTCTCGGTTACACAGCGCATCCCGAGCCTTGCGGGTTCGTTTGTTGTTGGTTGTTGTCTCCGCGCGGCCTTTAGCCATACATCCCCCGGCCTCAATCCACGGGCAAGGAAGAGCCAGCTTGCAAGGGGGTTGGAAGTTCTTGAGATACCTTCCCGACCCAAGGAATTGAGCCCTCGAGGTAGGAAACGACGTGGGCTAGATCTTGGGAATGCTAGGCCTGCTAAGGGCCCACACTGCCAATCCTATCCTCCCTTTGGACACTGAGTGCACTCCCCAAGAGTACAGTGAACTCCAGCAAGTTGGGAACAAGGATTAAAAGATATTAGTGCTGGGATTTTCAAACTTGCAACAACTCGCATCGGCATAACCCCGAATCTGACATTAGTGTTGATGGGTATTGAGGTGGCGCAGGGTTTTCCTCCTGGATATTGCAGGCAAGACATCAACGGCAAACAGGGGGTGCGAGATTTTTCCCACGCTTCTCAAAGTGACGCAAGATTTCCTCCAACAGTAGCATCATCGTCGTCATTGATGCCGGCTGCTTCGTTGACCTCAGCATCGTCATTTGTTTAGTCGTTGCAGCGAATGGCATCTTTTTAATCGCCATTGTCATCGACACCACCACCGCCAGCGCCACCACCACCACCACCATCATCATCATCGTCATCAGCATCATCAACCTCATCATCATCATCATCACCATCATCATCATCATCATCACCATCATCACCGTCATCACCATCATCAAAATCATCATCACCCTCACCATCATCGTCGTTGTCGTCGTCATCATCATCATCATCACCATCGTCACCATCGTCGTCATCGTCATCGTCATCGTCGTCATCATCATCGTCATCCTCACCATGTCTGAGTAACAACCGCAGTCACCCTAATAGCAATGTTCATCATTTCAACAACGATAGTATTCCCTGTCGTACAAAAGCAGGATGTAGGGCAAGTCTGTGCCTCCGTTCTAACCGGTCCCCAGATGTATGATGCACTCCTGGGCGGTCTTCAGGTTTTCGTAAGTTGTGCGCCAGTATGCACCTTGCAAAGCTTTCGCCCGTCCATGTACTGGCTCAGCTTTCCATTCGTTCTGCAGGACGGCATCTGCATTGCAACGCAGGAGAAATTTGCCAAACCGGTGCTTGCCTGGGACCCTGACAGGCCGTCGCGGTTGACCCGGATGGCAGTGTGACGCCTGATTCGGAGGTGGGTCGAGGGTTAAGGGGCGAGTGTTGGCAAGGGTCGGCGAGTGATCGTGGTGCGTGGGAGTTTTTTTTGGGACGGCATGTGCTAGCTGATGCTCAGCCTGACTCATTTGCACGGTTTGCTGTAGGTGAAGATGGACCTCCTCGCCACCGAAGGTCCCAGCGATGAGGAGGGCTTCGTGGCACCCAATCGGTCACTTTGGGCCGTCTCGCAGGTTCAGTTTGACTTCAGTTTGACGGGAGCATATTATGGTAACTTCAAAGGCTTTTCTGCGCGATTCAGATCGGACTTTGTGAGTGGCCCACACCCATTTTCAGGAACCAGAGAATCTGTGTCCAACCCTAAACCCTAAACCCTAAGCTTCGACTTGCAGGAGCTCGTTCCTGGAAAGCGTCTCTACCTCACCTACGAGGGTGCGAAAAAGCACAACCTCAACAGCGCTGAGAAAACCTGCTTCAAAAGGATCTCCACGAGTACCATTGGAGACAAGACGAGGACTGTGGTGCACCTCGAGTTACCGAACGTCCTGGACAGCTTGGACATTCCCAAAGAGATTAGTGTCGACCTCGTGGACATATGGGAGTGGGAGCGCATTCCTTTAAAGCAGGTCTACCTCGACGGTGCGAAGGTCAAAGTGAAGAAGGTTTCCACCACAGCCCTAAAGACCAGCGTAGATGTCGAGCTGCTGGAGAGACGGGAAGTTACACTCAACCCGGAGCACATACAGGCAGCCAGGGGCACTTCCGGGGACACTATGTCAAGGGGAATTGTCCTTTCACTACCCCACACCCGGCTGTTCGCTTGGGAAAATTCGCCTCATCAGCCACCCGCTTCACGTTAGGCATTCTGGGAGGTTTCAGAACTTCGGGAGCAAGCCCACCAGCACTTTGAAGATGAAGCATTGCAGTGTTGTAAGAAGTTGATTATCGCGGCCTTCTATGCCAGCAAAAGGGGCAATAACAAGCTTTGCCGGAGCAAGCGGTTTCCGCTTCAGTCGCTTCTTGCACCCCGACGTCAAAGACTGCACGAGGCTCAATACTAGGAACGCTGACATCTCGGACCATCAAGTAGTTCGTCAGGCACAAGCAGGATCAAGCAGGTTACTGCGCATTGGTGACGGTAGTTCAGACCGAACAGTGGGATATACATGTAGAACGCAGTCCGCTTCAAGAAGCACCCAATCGAAGTTCGCAAGACAAGGGTGATGATATCATATTAAGAGTTTGGCCGCTGCAGGTGAAGTTGGACCTTCGCGTCCCTGCCGGTCAAAGTCAGCAGGAGGGGCCGCCCCGGAGAGTTGCTAGTGCTAGCATTGCCTTGTAAAGCGTGAATAGGCCCGGGGCCTCTGCCCGAGCTCTCAGCCTCTAAAGACACTTTTGCGCCCAAGCCCTGCAGACTCGATTCGGTCCATTCTCTGTTTAAGATTTTTCTGAGTTGCAGGTGCTTGCCCCTGGAACACGTGTCCATCTCACGAACGAGGGCGCACGCAAGCACAACGTTGCCGCCACTGAGAAAGCGCTTGTTCAGAAGGCCTTCAATGATGAGCAGAAGACCATCGTCCACCTCCAGCTGCCGGACAAGAAAGACGAGAGTGGAGTTTCCAAAGAAATTCAAGTGGACCTTGTGGACATTACTGCCAAGGAATGGGAGAGTGTTCCTTCAAAGCAGGTCTACCTCACCTCCCAGGGCGCACAAAAGCTCGACATCTCCGGCAGTACAGTTTCAAGGGTCACGGTCACGGTGAAGAAGGTTTCCACCACGTCAAACCAAAAGACCGACATGCTCGTCGAACTGTTAGTCCCCAAAGAAAAAACAGTCGACCCGGCGGACTTACAGGCGCGAGGGTGTGTCATGCACATGCCTCTTGCACTGCTTCATCTGATTATTGTCTGGAGTCTTCATGGCTAGATGTCTGGAAGGGGTTCTGGGAAGCCTAATCAACAGATTGAGATCGTGCGGTACACTGCGTACAGAACTTGGTTTTCGACCCTCTCGGCCATTCATGTGTTCTTGAGCCACAGATGAAGAAATCATTGTGTTCCAGCAAGTTACTGCCTGGGAAGACTGATGTGTTGCTCAGACAGACTTCATCGTCCAGAACAGTTTCAACATGCACGGAACAGCTTGGCATGTGAAAGTATTTCGTTTTGCACCCTACTGTGGAAAAGTTTATGGGAAACAACGTCAGGAAATTTTATGCCGGAGTCCTCTGTTTCATATTCCGATACTACAGCGTACTTCAGCTCATGAGCAACACCCAGAGCTTCATGATCATGTTGAAACGGGATTCGGAAGTGCTGCGAGCTTGTATGCCCGTGCCGCAAAGTCTTGATTGGGTTGTAATGGTTGTAGCCGCAGAAGAGGTGAAGGAGTACTCAACAAAGAGAAAGATCTACAAGAGTTCCAGCAGTTTTCTGTGACATACTCCCGTGTACTTGAATGTACAATGGTTCGAAGAAGATACCGAAAACACGGCGCAGCTCGGACCTGGGACCAGCCAGTACCACAGCAATGAGCCCTAAGCTGTTCACTGTGCAAAGCCTCCAGCCTTGACCTGCAGGTGAAGCTGGACCCCTCTGCAGAGCAGGGTGAGGAGGGGCCTCGTCACACCAAAGCAGTCGCTTTGGGCTGTTTGGTTCAGCAGGTTTGGGGTTCAGGTTGGGGTCGTTGAGTTCAGGATTCAGGACTGAGAGTGCAGATTCTTCCGGGCATCGGGATGCAGGTGCAGTCTGTGTCCTGTCGTTGCGACGCATGACCCTGTTAATTGACCGCAAGCAGACCTCTGGGCCCAAGCTCCAAGGCCCGCATACTTCAACCCTTTGCTGTAAGGTCAGTCGGTTCCCCGACAGACCGATCGGATCCCACCATTGGACAGCCATCGTTCTGATGCAGAAGTTTCAGCCCAAATCCTGCGCGTAGGTATCTGTTTTGTGCTTTGTGGCTTGCAGGAGTTTGCTCCTGGAAGACGCGTCTACCTCAGCTACGAGAGCGCGCGCAAGCACAACGTCGACAGCAATGACAAGACCTATGTGAAGAAGGTTGCGGCTGCGAAAGACAACAAGAACAAGACCATGGTATACCTCGAGCTGCCGGACGAAAAGGAAGTGGCTGTCGAGCCTGTGGAGATCCAGGCGGGGGCAGGACATCGTTGTATCCCTCTTTCCACTCCTGGGCCTGCCTCCCTTGCGAGACCAAGCCACCTTCCTGGTCGATGAGCCGTGTGTCGAAGCAGGAGTTCATTGCCCGTGGCCTAGCCTCTTTGGGTTGGATTGGAAGATATTGGAAGTCATGACAAGGATCATTGCTTGAATGGCATGTTGGGGCACTTGCGAAACATTCATGACGCGGCTTTTTGCAAGCAGTCAGGCAAGGCAATCGTCTCGAGCTCTCATTAGCGACGCCAACCAAAACAAAACCCCGAGAGAGCCCCGAGAAAGCAGGACATGTGATACCGCCTAGGCGTGCTTCACCGCTTCCCCACTCCTGAGCGAATCGATTCGCCGGTTGGGATGCACTACGCATCCCGGTGTGCATTCAAGAAATACCGGTACATGCTCCCAGTAACGTGTACCGGATTCGGGTCATTTCAAGCGTGGTTAAGGCTTGGGCTTGGTTGGCTATCTGGCGGTGCAAAATCCAAAAGGACAAAGGGACAGTGGGACTTCAATAGTTGGCTGCCTGCTGGAATTTTCCAGCCAATGCCAAGGCACGAGTTGCACGAGACGCGGCCGATCCCTCTGGAGGCGTCTGTGACGGTGGCATGCAGCCATGGTGATGCTGATGAAGACGACGAGAGTGATGTGCTGGTAATCAACTAGGGATGAGGGTGCAGATGAGTGCGAAAGACGTTGATGATGGCACCAGCAGGAGCAGCAAGGAGCAGGAGCAGCATGAGCGATGCCAGGATAAATGGAGCTTCGAACCTGCGAAGTACGTTGCGTGGGTGTTTCGGGATCATGCTTTGAAGGTCATAGGTATCTGAAGGCCGATGCTCTGCCGCCTTGGAGTTACTGGGGCCACGACACTTGAACACTGTAGAATCAGGTAGCTTGTTTGCATGTCTTTGCAATTATAAAGCTAGATTCGTTTTGAGGTTTCCGGAATTCATTGACATGCAACCGCATTCAGACTAAGCCTCTAAGCGCTCGTGTTGTGGCCACATCGCAGTTTTGAGTGCTCGCGACAGTGTCAGCTTTGCGCTTGTGAGCCCTTCCCCGGGCAAAGGGGCACTGGTACTTGCACCTCTGCCGCTGCACGCGCACAGCAGAGACGTCTCATTCAATGTGTCTGCCAGGTGACAGTCATGGATCCGCACCATGATGATGTGTTCCAGGAATTGGAGGACTGGAGTTTGTCAGGAAGCCAACACGAAAGCTTCACAGGTGCCTGTGAGTGCAAGAGCACAGACCCTGCACGAAGTCTCGCATTGGGGCCCGCAGCTGGTCAAGTAGAAAACCTTCGCTCTAAATCCTCAAACCTTCAGCCCGTGGAGCCAGGAATCTGTCAACATCGGCCAGTCACTGTTGATCGAGGCCCTGCGATGAGGGAACGAGAGCCCGGACAGGCTTAGAGGCCCTGAAGCGTGCAATGATGAGTATGAAAGTGCATGTAACCACCCACAGCATTGTTCCAAGTAGCTTTCCGCCAGGGAGCGGGCCCACCTTCAATGCTAACTAGAGTTATGGCGTGCGATACAGATGTCATATGCCCCCATGTAAACATATGAACATGCGTGATTTCTCTACGATTCCAGGACTTTGCTGTTTTTCCTATCATTTTTGATAGGGGTTACCGAAGCCGAGGAGGACACGGCCACGGGTATGGGTAGATGGGAGGGGGGGGGGGGATGCGTAGAGGGCGTGAGAAGCAGAAAATGCGGTGTTTTCCGCACGGAAGCCCAGGAATTCTTCATGAGACCCTATTTTGTTTCTGCGATTTCATGTCCTTCGCCTCCTTGCCTCACCAAAATCGCACGAAGCATGCCAAATCGGAAGAACACCTTCCTAAGCCAATCCAGTCTTTTCAGAACACATTCTTGGGTTTGCCCATGAGAGCCCGCAAAAAAATCCGGCAATATCTTGCTTGCTACCATTGTAGTAGCCTTATAGAATAGTAGCCTTATAGAAACCCCCCTCTAGAACCCCTTATGGATCCGTTATATAGGGAGCCCCTTAAACCGTAAACCCTAAACCCTAAACCTAAACCCTAAGCCTATACCCTAAACCCTA